CAACTTCGGAGCGTCATGTCATCAAACGTCAATTGAAGAATATACAACGGTGAATTGAAGAATATCCTGTGTATGGTTGCCAAGGTACTCCAAGGACCCACAAAGCAGGGAACTGAATTTTCTCATACAATGTTTCAGGAAAAGGAATATATTACGTATAGGGGCATAATATATTAATTTTTTGGTGTCAAGAGACAAACATGCACATGTTCCTGAAGCATTACATAACGTTCCCTAAACTACGTACTATTCAAGAAAGTAAATACGTTGCGTAATATTAGGTTTTTGTTTGGAAGAGAGGAAACACTTGATGGAATTATAGGAGTCACTAAAAACGGCTTAGAATGTTTAGAACTAGAAATAGAATGATGCTGCTTTTTATGGAACAGTGGAATTTGTTTGTGTAATTACATAAAAGGACGCTGCAACAATGACTGCGATTTATATACTAAAATTAATGTGATAAGATTACGGATGTATTTTCTTTTCAATTAGGGAATCTATTATATACAATACGTTGTAGTGGCAATTAAGAAATCCTTGACGTACAGTGTATCTGTATCTGCAAAATGTCACCGCTAAATATCTCAACGCGTGTTCTAATACGAGAAAAAATAAACTTAATTTTTATTTTTGAAGACGATTTCTACTGATAATTAATTATGTCTTTTGCACTATAAAATACACATCTAAAATATGTGTAAAAGACCTAATGTATGTAAAATTAAGAAACTAATTTACAATTAAGGTACACAGGGCCGATAATCTCAGGTTGACTCACAGAAATAGTCGATTTGATACTGTCATAATTCCATTGTAAAGTGCACATTAACGAAGATAATTCTCGTTTCCTTCATCAAAGACTACTAAAGCAGGCTTTAATGAAACGACAGTTATGGGCAACTCTTTAAATTGGTGACATGATGAGGGAGTAAATTACCAGTTATATTTCATTTTTATACATTAACAATTATTATAAAATATATTAAAAAACTTCAGAAAATATTACAACTTATTGAGATTGTATATTACTTCAAGGATTCCATATCTAAAATATATCATACATTCTTAGATAAATTTATAGTAAAGTAAGTTATCTCAACTTCTCTTCTAGTTGGTAGCTATTATGAAGGATAATCTAGTAAAAGAATGATATTAAATAGGACACAAAAATAAAAGTGACCGGAACTTATTTGTAGGTGGATTCATAGACGCATTTCATTGCAGTTACTAACATAATACGAGACCATTTTGCACATTTATTCCTTTATTACTTCCTTAAATTCCTTCCTTTATCCTTTACTTTACTACTTTATATCTCTTTGTATTTAAGGCCATGATGTGGCACTGATCTAGCTGCAGTAGGTCACATTAGGCCGTTCGTGGCGGTCCCCGTGCGCTCGCCTATTGTTAGAATTATATGCCAGACACTGGTGCAGTCCTACCAACTGTGTAGCTAGCGTCGAAAATCCACGATCACGGGAATCAAGCCATTGATCCTGCAGCGGCAATGATGAGTCGCTGAGCTATCACAACCGGTGTCATTAGTCACCACGTCGCATATAATTACATCTTCAACATAAATATAACTGAGCATAATTATAAGCTTTGCAAGCATGCTGGAGGGGTCCGAAAATGCCCACAATATATTTGCAGGACAGCGAATAATAAGGCATAGACTCTTTCTTCTTTTTGAGATACCATAATTTCTTGTTTTCTTTCCATGGGTATCTTCTTCACTTTTCGCTGACATTTTTTTATCTGCCACATATTGAGGGCCTCTTATCACAACCTTAGTGTGATTCCAAAAAACGCTTTATTGAGTCCAAATCAGTTTAAAATGAATCTAACAAAAGAGTTTTCGACGAAATACTAAAGAACTACTTCACATTTATTGGATGCGATCCTTTCAAAGCAATAAAACGTTTGCAAGAACTTGAAATAATCATCAGATTCCACGTCCTCTGCAATAAGGCGCAGCCTATGGGGACATAATTGCTCTCTGAGCAACATCTGTTGTGTGCTATCTCACCTCCCAGACAGGATATATGGCTGTGAGCTCTTTAGGAATCTGCGCCTAATGGCGTGTACCATTGGAGAGAGAAATGGAGACAGTCTGGACTTGTGTCCGACGTGATGTTAAATGTCTATTTTGTTCTTTTGATGTGAACAACCAAGATTTTTGAAGAATTTCACAGTCTCATTCTAATTTGAGGCATTAATTGTTTTATGTTCACGAAAACGTCATAAAATAATGAAAATAACCTCGATTTAATAGTGTAAAATTACAATTATTTATTTAAAATACTATTACCATTTTTACAATGAATTTTTATATTACGTTTACCTTTTTTAATAATTTGAGACTAATTTTAACTTGGTATACATAATATCGTATCGGAGGTTATGATATGTTATTAAGTAATATTAACAGTCACTGCAGCCAACCTAACGAAATGACGATTTCAGCACTCAAATCATTGCTGTCTTGTCTTAAAGTAAAACGTTGAGATTACTCTTCTGAAGTTAACGTCTGGAGTACGTTTTTTTCTGTTGATCACCGTTTGGAGTGATTCGGCGCAACCTGGATTACCGTGAAACATTTCGATACCTTCACTTAAGCATGGAGGTAATCGGTCAACAATACCATTTCAAAGTGCACCTGTATATTGACGTTAAAGTTACTTCAAAACAAATTAAGTTCCTAGAATGATCAGTTTATGCGTCGTTTGTAGCGCGGACAATTTCACGAATTTAATTGATTGTTTTCACTTAGGCATAAAGCCATGCACTAAGGAAACTGCAAGACGACGCAATTTCCAAGCAAAGGCTGTGAAAATATTCTAAGTAGCGATCTTTCATGCACACAACTGTAAAATTCACAAGAAATTGGCAATCACAAGAAATGGAAGTGGAAAATCTACGGCATGTTGGTAACTCTTTACCTCTAGTATTATTTTCCAACAAATATCAATTATTATTGAACTAGATTCTGCTGTCATAAATAGCAAATACAATTAAAGTATAATTGCACCTCAGACATTAGACAACTGAGTTAATCGAATTTTTCACGAAATTTTCGATAAATTGCGTTCAGCGCATTGTCGGCTAATTTATTCTAAATCTGGTTTAAAGAAATTACTATTACGAGTACTATTGTTTACTTAACTATATTATGATTGGAAATATAAGTGATTAAATGATGTGTTCCCTTATCTTAATTTTTAATCACTATCACCATCTACTTATTTTAAAATTATTGTTGTGAAAACAACATATTTTAAAATAAAATTAATAACATTGGACATAAATAAAGATATATGAATTCGAATATTATATGAAATGCAGATTTTTGACTATTTTGTACAATAACAGTTAAGAAGTACCACTTCTCTTTTATATATTTGCATTACGTAAAATCAAGAAAATGATTATTAAAATCTTTTCAAGAATTGAATGATAGTAGTAGGGTGCTATAACGGTATTAATATTATTACTATTACTATTATAATTATAATTATAATTATTACTAACCATTTAGATTATTACTCATCTCGTTTTATTCCGTACCCCGAAAAGTAAGAAGTAAATTGAAAATAAGAAGAAAAAGAATGGAAGAAGCGGAATAAAGAAAAGGAAGAATTAATTTTGTTTTGATGATTGTATTCTGCGTCAACCTCAAAGAAGGAAGTAACACTGACGATTGGAGCCACTAAGTATGAGGAAAATTCCTAGAACATATCCGACTGAACATTAAATAGTAAAATACACAATTTAGTGACAATAGGAATGCCTCAGTAATTGGGAAAGTATCGAATAAAGTCTCAAGTGTTTTATATAATATGCCGGTTATCCAGCTTGGAAAGATATTTTCATTCGACTCGATAGACCCACTTACTTTAGTAGAGTGGATCACAAGCACAAAATTCAGTTCAGAACACAGAGAACAGATGTTGGAAAATTTTCATTCACAAATAGAACAATAACGGACTGGAATAAGTTACCTGCGGCAGCCATGGAACCCTTTCCTCTAGGTGTACAAAGTTTCAAAAGTAGATTAACTAAGGACATTGGTATAAGTTAGGCTTATTAAAATGGTTATTATTTTAGTTATATATACTATATAATTGTTATTTTTTAAATATTAGTATTGTGATAATCACTATTAAATACATTGGTTTGTTAAATATACAAGTATATATAAAGTAGTAGTTGAATTGGAGTGTCGTGAAGTGTTGTGAAGTGTAGTGCAATAGAGAAGTCAAGTGCAAGTGTAGTGTACCGAAGTGAAGTGAAGTGAAGTGTAGTGTAGTGAAGTGAAGTGCAGTGTATTTATTAGTTAAAAATTCCGTGCAGGGCAGTCATAAAGTGTATAGGTAATGCTGTTAGTTTTTATTGTTATATTGTTATTATTGCCTTAAAAGGCTTTAAAATTAGTGTATTACTATTCTTAGTTGTAAAATGTAGTGTTCTGCCACCAGGTTCTATACCTACTTGCAGAAATAATAATAATAAAATCTAAAAAATAATATGTGTTAATATTGTTTTATAAATACGATATATTATTGAATTACATACTTGGTGACTCTGAAATAACGTCTCAAAGCAAATTAGAAGACGGAGGATCTTCAGTTAAAAATGTTCATTTTTAGCACACTAGTCAAGGGCCATGGATTTGAATTTCCAGAGAATAGAACAAAAATATTATTATAGTGCTCTAACGTTTGGCAACTATTATTTTAACCTTCTCTTGAGAGTTTAAGATGCAGAATTTTATTTGCATCGACGATTACAAACAAAAATGCTTCCCGATTACGGATTAGACTAGAGCGCTATGTAATTCCCCGTGCAGAGCGTCAACACTCTCCGCTCCTCGTCAGCAGGCGTAGTTGTGCGTGACTACTGTCTGCCTTCCTCGCCTTGCTTCCGCCCGCTTTTCAGAGGCACTGGCTGTCTACGCGGGGATGGGGCGTGGCCGCCGCGGGCGCCCGGCCGCTTACCGTCCAGCTTCCCGTTGGAGAATTGCAGCTGCAAGAGAGAGGCATTGGAGCGCCGCGAGGAGTTGCGCGACACCTGCGAGTGCGCCGGCGAAGTGTCGGCCGAGGGCTTCTTGGCGGCGGGCGCGCCGCTGGCGCTGCCCACGGCGCCGGTCAGGGGCAGCCCGGCGGGCGCCTCGCCGGCGTACGAGTGGGTCTGCGTTACGGTTACGAGCGGGTGCACCGCCGCGCCGAGGCTGCCTACGCACACAAGCAACAACGCCGCCCGCTCAATGTCACATTGGGGCACAGCAGTGCGTTCAAGTCCGTCTACCCGTCGCTGTTGCTGTTCACAAAGAAGGCGTGAGAGAGACGTGGGCGGTATCAGATATTAGGGAGCACCGAGAGAATACGAACTAGTAGATTCAGATTTGAAAATGTCACAAACAGAAGTAAAGAGGGATTGAATAGGCTTTTCCGGGCGCGTCAACGGCAAATGACATTAGTCCCGTATGTGTATCGCATGTTATTACGTGACCTGGCGGTGATCTTCCCTCCGCTGCATGGCGAGATCAGGTGCCGAACTACACGTCGACTTACTGAGCTTTCCCCAACCTGGTGTCACACACCGTTGGGCCGCTGTCATTGCCGGGACAAGCTCTAACCTCCCGACATGTGTGTAGGGCATGTCCGCTCTCTAGCTACTGTCTAAATTCCTGCCACAGTCTGGACTAGAACCCTGGGACTACCCGGTCAGAGGCGCTGCAGTGATATGAATCGATGCCCTATGCCACATCAGCCAGCAGAAATGCAGTGAAACCTGTCCACACATGGACTATTGACTCGGCGCAGAAGGCATTGTGAAGAACAGCAAAGAGAGCGAGTACCGGTGACATATTAGGGAGCACCGAGGCCATGCAAGCTTTTATGTTTATATTTTAAAATGTTACAAATGGTAATACAAAAAAAGCTGTTTTGTTAAAAGGAAAACAGTATTTAAAAATGAATTTGTCCTTTAATTCTTCTTCATAATAATTCAACTTTGTCCGTTGCTTTATTGCTCAGCTACAGCGGTCACATATTTCAGGGCAATTACTGCAAATACGATAGTTTTGGAGATAAAGATAGATATAATAGGGCACACAGGTTATGTTACGCGGAAAGAAAAAAACATCGTTCACGAATGCTAGTCAGAGGTCATTCTGCCTCCGGGCAGTGGGGCTTCATGGTGTTGGCACCCATACACATCAGAAAGTGTCGCTACTTCCAGCAAGATGCCATCGGTCGCCACATGTCTGTTCAGAGTGGCACTTTTGTGGCATCAATAGAGACATTCTTTTGCAAGAATGGTAAATTGATAATTACAGAAATATTGATAATTACAGCAATTGATAATTTATAATTACAGCAATATTCATGCGAAACTAGATACGAGTTTAACTAAGTGAAATGTACCAAATGTCCTCTCATACACATTATTTTATTTTCCTCGGTATAATCCTTCGTGCTCGCTCATTTCCAACTCCGTCTAAAAAGGGAAAGATACATAAACTTTTGTGGAGATGGGGGCGCCCGGGAGCTTACCTTCCATGCCTCTTTTTACCCCCGAGAAGAAAGCTCACACGTACTCTGCTCCAAGAGAGTCCGGTTTCATGTAATATATGTTTAAATATGCAATTGTCTTGAAATTAATTCAAAGTGTAATGAAAATATCTCCACGCCGACCATAAATTCCTGCAATCGTAATCATCCCGAAGTCAGACTTATTCCCTTGCATTGTTCATCTCATTCAAAGCGTTACTTATACGCTCGCAAATGGTCGCGTTAAGGTGAAGCGGAAGAGAAGACATCGTTTCCAAATCCCAAGCCGAACGGCAGGTCTCTCCAGGGGTTTCGCTTTCGCGCCGCGCAAAGAGCGGATCGTTATTCCGAGTGTTCGGAGAGGTATACTTCTCGAACCTGGGCAGAAGCCAGTCTTGTAATGCTTCGTTAACACGATTCTGCAGTTTTCCGTATCGAGGAGAAATGCACATCACATCTAGCTAATTGATTTATACGCAACAAAGAAATAACCTAGTGTCTCATAATAATTATGAGTTTATTCACGATTTTCGAAGAATGATATTATTTCTATTTTACCAGTATAGTATATGAAAATAAACTTCTTTTGAGTCTTTAGCAGTAATTTTTAAACAACGTCCTTTTCATTTTATAACATTTACTATTTATTTCACGCCATTTTTACCATTAAGAAATTATCAATTCTGTGACTCACATGACTCATTTTGATCAAATCTACGATATATTCGTAATCATTATGGCTCATTGCTGCTTCGGGAACAACAAAACAAGCAATTTTTTGTTAATTGAAAACGTATGTAATACTTATGATCGTTTATAAGTTGGCAACGAAGATGAGAACACAGAGCAAACACGTTTCAAAGGAACATAAGAAAAAACTTCCGAAAGAAAAGAGAAAACTTTTTTGATATCCTCCGATTATAACCTTCTTTATTCTGTACGAAGTTCCTTCAAGAAGCCTCTGAAATGCAGGGAGAAACAGAGGAGGCGAGATAGCAGACAGCGGATGAACGCGAGCGGGTGAACGAGAGCGAGGGAACGAGAGCGGGTGAACGAGAGCGGGGGGGCGAGTGCGGTGAGCCCGAAGAGCAGTGGGACAGAGAGTGGCAGGCGAGAGCGGTGGGGCAGTTGCGGTGGGAGAGTGCCGCGGTGGGCGAGTTGGCAGTGGAGGCGAGTGCGGGGGCGGCGAGTGCCGGTGGGACCCGAGGGCCGGGTGGGACGTGTAGACTTGCCGTGTGGAACGAGAGCCGGCGGGACGATGGCGACGGGACGAGTGCGGTGGGACCCGAATGCGGTGGGCTGAGAGCGTGGGACGAGAGTGGCAGGACGAGAGCGGGGCGAGTTGCGGTGGGGGGCGAGTGCGGCGGGACGGTGCGGGGGCCGCGAGAGGCAGTTGGACGAGAGTTGGCAGGACGGAGCGGTGCGACGGGTGCGGTGGGACGGGTGGCGGTGGGACGAGAGGGTGGAGAGAGGCGGCGGGACGATGGCGACGGGGACGAGTGCGGTTTGGGACGAATGCGGTGGGACTGAGAGCAGTGGGACGAAGAGTGGCAGGACGAGAGCGGGGGGCGAGTGCGGTGGGGCGAGTGCGGCGGGAACGAGTGCCGGGGGGCCGAGAGCAGTTGGACGAGAGTGGCAGGAGCGAGAGCGTGGTGACGGGTGCGGTGGGACGGTGTGCGGTGGGACGAGAGCGGTGGAAAGAGAGCGGCGGGACGATGGCGCGGGACGAGTGCGGTTGGGACGAATGCAGTGCGACGAGAGCGCGTGGGGCGAGTGCGTGGGGCCGAGTCCGGGTGGGATCGAGAGCGGGAAAAGCGCAGAAGGCGGGAGGGACGATGGCGAACGGGGACGAGTTGCAGTGGGACGAATGCGGTGGGCCGAGAGCAGTGCGACGAGAGTGGCAGGACGATAGTGGCAGAAAGGGAGCGGTGGGACGGAGCGGTGGGGTGAGTGCGGTGGGGGGGCGAGTGCGGCGGGACTGAGTGGGGGGGCCGAGAGCATTGGACGAGAGTGCAGGACGAGAGCGGTGGGACGGGTGCGGTGGACGGGTGCGGTGGGAACGAGAGCGTGGAAAGAGAGCGGCGGACGAATGGCGAGGGACGAGTGCGGTTGGACGAAGCAGTGCGACGAGAGCGGTGGGGCGAGTGCGGTGGGGCGAGTCGCGGATGGGACGAGAGCGGTTGGATACAGAGCGGCGGGACGATGGCGACGGGAACGAAGTGGCAGTGGGACGAATGCGGTGGGCGAGAGCAGTGGACGAGAGTGGGCAGCCGATAGTGCAGAAAGGAGCAGGTGGGATCGAGAGGGTGGTGGTGAGTGAGGTGGGGCGAGTGCCGGTGGGCACGAGAGCGGTAGGAAAGAGAGCCGCGGGACCGATGCGCGACGGGACGAGTGCGGATGGACGAATGCGGTGGTGACGAGAGCAGTGGGACATGATGGTAAGACGATAATGGCAAGGACTCTGAGCGGTGGACGAAAGCGGTGGCAGGCAGTGGACGAGATTGGCAGGACGAGAGCGGTGGGGCGAGTGGCGGTGGGCGAGTGCGGTGGGGCGAGTGCGGTGGGGCGAGTGCGGTGGGCGAGTGCGTGGGCGAGTGCGGTGTGCGGTGGGTGGGGCGACGTGCAGTGGGGGAAAGTCGCGGTGGGGCGAGTTCGTGGGGGCGAGTTCGGCGGACGAAGTGCGTGGCGGAGAGCAGTTGGACGAGCAGTGCAGGACGAGATCGTGGGGCGAGTGGCGGTAGGGGCGAGTGCGGTTGGGAACACGCTCGGTGGCCGAGAGCAGTGGCCGAGAGCTGGTGGAACGAGACGTGGACGAGGGCGGTGGGGCGATTGCCGTGGGTCGAGCATGCCGTGGGAGGAGAGTGGCGAACGAGATCGGGGGGCGAGTGCGGTGGGCGAGTGCGGTGGGGCGAGTGCGGTGGGGCGAGTGCGGTGGGCGAGTGGTGGGACGTGTGCGGTGGTGACGAGAGCAGTGCTGGGACGAGGATGCAGGACGATAGTGGGCAGGACGAGAGGCGGTGGACGGTGCGGTGGGGCGAGTGCGGTGCGGCAGTGCGGTGGACGAGAGCTGTGGGCGAGTGCGTTGCAGTGAGAGCGGCGGGACGAGACGGGGAGGTGAGTGAAGCACGAGCGGGGTAGAAAAGAAGGGCGCTCGGAGGGCCGGGCGGAGCGAGGCATGTGGAACGGAACAGGGCGAGACGCGCGGGAGGTGACGAGACGCGCAAAACTGTTAGAACGAGAGGGGGGAGACCTTGCAGGGAAAGTGAGAGGTCAGACAGCGCCAGAGTTTCGCCAAGCCCGCGCTGCGGAAGCGGGGCGGGACGGGAGGTCGCATAGGGGCCGGGTTCAAGGGCTTCGGGTGGGATGCGGGACGCCTGTGCGGCCGCCTATTGTCTTTCGCTGTCGCGAATCAACGCCGGTCTCCCCGGGGCGACGGACACAAACCGACCGTCAGTTGGCGGCTGATCCTGTACCGCGCGCTCATCATACGGCGTGTGCGCTCCCCGTGGGCGTGAGCCGCGCGAGGCGGGCGGGGCGTGGGCGAATGCGAAGGCGGCGCAGAGACCGTCCCCGACGCCCCCGCGCTCAAATGCAAGCGAAAGTGTAATAAGCGGGTTTGGGCAGTCGGAGGCGGGGACTCTCAACTCAATCTCTTTACTGAATACTCCGAACGGAACTTTTTTTTTCACAATGCTGTCAAGAATTATTTTGTAAAATGCTGAAATCAATACACAGAACAATAAAATAGATAAAGTTGACAAAACTCTAAAAGAATAATTTAGTCATATTTATTTTGATTTTTCAACAGTTAAAAGCTAGAACATGGAAATACCAACTCGATTTTAGAACTTCACATATTATGAAGAGCATAGCTTTTAACAATATTGTGTACTTATTTAGAAGCATTGCTAAAGTAAATGTGAAGGTAAATCATACACCAGTAATTCAGCATTTCGAAATGTGGTTTTTGAACTGTTACAATTAATACTCTTAAACGCAATACAAACGCTGTCGTAATTTATTGAAACATATTCAGTGAATGTGATCCGCTGGAAATGTTGAGCAAAAGTGAAGTACTCAGAAAATATGGAGAGGAGCAAACGTAGCTGAAGAAGATTGCACAAAGGAAGTCAAGTACTGAGACATGGTTGTTTATTTAGGTCAGACATGTCAATGTAACGGGCACTACTTCCAGTGCAAATAGCGCGCACTTGAAAAGTGAAGCTTGAACAAGTGCTTCGGGAAGATATACGCCACTGAATACCTGGCCCTTTACAGGCGTTGCATATGAGTGCTCAGTTATTTCTCTCAGAGACCATTGGTCACCATTTCCAAACCTCAAGCTAAGTAACGATCCATTTAGATGAAATGTATTTAGATGAAACGATCCATTTAGATGATACGTATATCAGTCACATTTGAAATTGTCAATTGAGTGATATTGGTTTCGCAGTGGCGTTTAGTCTATAGTGCATTAACTTCTATGTTCTGGTTAGGAAGTTTTACAGAAAAAATGTCCGTCCGTAAAAGATAGTTAATTTATTTTACATTATTGTCACAACCACAAATAACAATTATTTAATAAAACATAATACCAAACGAAAACAACGAAAGAATTTGCTATTAAAAATACCTGTCTCTTGGTAGACATTTTTTTGCAAGAGCAAATTTGAAAATAAAATACGCAGGAAGTAAAGTACGAGTAATAAGAAGTAAAATATATAAACATACAATTCAATTCTCGGTTGATTAA